GCATAATATCAAGCTTTTTCGAATGCAATTCTTGAATATCCTGACGACGATTCCGAATAATCTCACAATTTTGATAGAGCTGATAGAACATTTGCTTTCTCCACTCGTGGTCTTAGTAACTCAAAACGGCCAAAAAGGTCATATAGAACTTTGTAATTCTGATGTAAAGAAAAGACACTGAACTGCTACACGTTATCCTATAAGCAGAAAAAAATAGTTGCTTATCTCTTCTATCTTTATACTGTACCAACGTTATGCTATCAGTGCCAGACTTGGATATTAAGTAAAACCCATGAAAAACAAAATTATTGCATGGAATGTCTCCGCAAAACCATTAACATCACAAGAAAGACAGGTAGAAAAATTAAGACATAAGAGCGACTATTGGAACTGATTCCTGCCTGCATTTCATGAACAAAACAGAGAATAAAATGGTTTGGCAACCTGTTACGAATATCACCTAGCCAGCCAACCTCAAGAACACATAACACCAAGTAACGGTACTCAAGCTATGAAATAAGAGGTAGACCAAACAAAAGATTGATGGAGTCAAGGGAACCCTGCAAAATTACAATGTCCCAACTGAAGTGAAAGAGCAGCAGAGCTGGTCTACCATAGGAAACTGCATCCAATCCAAGACAGTAAAATCAGACGCTTCCAGTGGATCTTCAGCCCAGGACATGCAGGAGTCAAGGGAAATGAAAGAGCAGATAAGCTAGCACGCTCCGCAAACATAGAGGGAGTGCTTACCCTTGATCCTCCAACAGTAGTAGCCCTTGTCCGAGATCATCTAGCCGGCTGCTGTGAAGAGGAATCTTTCACGAAGGAGATTGGGATTGAGAAAGGAGTACAGCCTGGTGAAGGCAGGAGGAGCAGCCTGCGTGACCCAATCAGACGCTACAACAACTAACTGATGATGGAGACATTCAGCCTGCCCGCACTGAAATGGATCCTTATGAAGAAGGGCGAGGAAGCATGGTGCACCCCGTCTTCCTAAGACCCTAGTTCTACATTCAAGTATATTCAAGTATAGGAAACTGCATACACATACACATATGAACACACACACACACAC